GGTGGAGAAGGACCAGGACGGGTCAGTTTGGGGGGAAACACCTGGGTTGGGACCCTCACCCTCCTTTTTCCCCCCCCATCCCCGCTCTGACCCGATTTCCCCCGGTTTTGCCCCCTTTTCCCCCGGGTTTGCCCCGATTTCCCCCGGGTTTGCCCCGTTTTCTGCCTTCCTCACCCCGTTTTCCCTGGGTTTAATTCTTCTTCTGCAGTGTCTTTATTGGTCATTTTACCCCCTTAAATTCCCCTTTTAAATACCCATTTTCCATTTAAATGTTCATATTCTCTTTGAAATTCCCATTTTTCTTTTAAATCTGCATATTCCCTTTTAAATTCTCATATTCCCTTTTAAATTCCCATTTTCCCTTTGAATCCCCATTTTCCATTTAAATCCCCATTTTCCATTTAAATCCCCATTTTCCATTTAAATCCCCGTCTTCCCTTTTAAGTTCTCATTTTTCCCTTCCTTAAGTTCCTATTTTTCCCTTTAAATTCTCCTTTCCCCAACATTATACTTTTTATCGTTCCATTTTTCCTGTTTTTATCTTTTCATCCCCATTTCCATCCCATTTCCCCCCATTTTTATCCCAATTCTCCCCCATTAATTCCCCATTTCTATCCCTTTTCCCCCGTTATTTCCCCATTTCCCCCATTAATTCCCCATTTCCATCCCATTTTCCCAATTAATTCCCCATTATTTCCCCATTTACATCCCATTTTTCCCCATTAATTCCCCATTTTCCCCGTTATTTCCCCATTTCCATCCCATTTCCCTCATTATTTCCCCATTTCCATCCCATTTCCCTCATTAATTCCCCATTTCTCTCCCATTTTCCCCATTAATTCCCCATTTCTGTCCCATTTTCCCTGTTATTTCCCCATTTCCATCCCATTTTCCCCGCTAATTCCCCGTTTCCCACACCCCAGGGGTCGGAAGTTGACTCCGCAGGGGCAGCGGGACCTGGATCGCATCGCAGGGCAGGTGAGTTTTTGGGGCCAATTCCCAGCATTTGGGGCCATTTTGGAGCCATTCTCGGGATTGGGGCCATTCCTGGGATTTGGGGCCATTTTGGGACCATTCCCAGCATTTTGGGGCCATTCCTGGGATTTGGGGCCATTCCTGGGATTGGGGCCATTTTGGGGCCATTCCCGGGATTTGGGGCCATTTTGGGGCCATTCCTGGGATTTGGGGCCATTCCCGGGATTGGGGCCATTCCCGGGCTGGGGCTGTTTGGGGCCTATCCCGGCCTTTTTTCCCATTTTCCCTGGTTTTCTCCCCATTCCCAGGTCGCCGCCGCCAGCAAGAAGCACTGAGGGAGCCAATAAACCCTGAACCCCCCTGAGCTGGAGTTGTCTTTGTGGGGGGAACACCCAAAACGGGGGGAAACGGCCCCAAAACTGGGGAGGGGGAACCTTCAATTCCCAGCAGGGATCCCAAAAAGGGGAGAGGGGGAAAAGGGAAGGGGAGTGGCCCAAAATCGGTGGGAAAACACCTCAAAATGGGGAGAAAATACCCCTAAATAAGGGGAAAATGCTCCAGAGTATCAAAGGAATCCCAGAATTGAGAGAAACTGCCCCAAAATAGTGGGAAATGGCCCCTATTTGGGAGGAAACCACCTAAAATAAACTGGGGGTTGCTTCAGGGAAATGAGGTTTTACCCCAAAAAACGAGTGGTTTTTTTCTCAGAAAATGAGGTTTCAACGCCACAAAATCAGGGTGTTTTGCCCCAAAAGCTGAGGGATTTCCCTCAGTAAGTGAAGGTTGTGCCTCAGAAAATGAGGCTTTTTCCTCAAAAAATTGGGTTTTAATCCCGCAAAACAAGGCGTTTACCCCAAAAACTGAGGAGTTTGCCTCAGTAAATGAAGGTTCACCTGAGAAAAATGAGGTTTTTACCCTAAAATGAGGTTTTGATCCCACGAACTGAGGGATTTACTCCCCCCAAAAAGGGGTTGCCTCAGAAAAATGAGGGGTTTACCTCAGAAAAATGAGTGTTTTCCTTAGAAAATGAGGTTTTACCCCAAAAAAACTGCTTTTTCTTTGCCTCGGTAAACAAGGGCTTAACCTGCCAAAACAAGGGTTTGCCTCAGAAGATGAGGGTACCGCTTGTCAAAAACGATGTTTTAACACTGCAAAATCATGTGCTTACCCCAAAAACGGAGGGGTTTGCCTCAGTAAATAAGGGTTTCCCTACAAAAATGAAGGTTTAACCCTCCAAAAATGAGTGGTTCGCCTCAGAAAATTGGGGTTCGTCTCAGAGAAACGAGGTTTTAACCCCAAAAAGAGG